CCCCACAAGGTCCCCACAGAGGTCTCCAGTGATACCCCAGTGTGCCCGAGTAAAAGAACCATGTGAGTGCTTGCCAGGACATGGTGGTGGTGGTGGTGGTGGGGTCATCTAACACCAGAGAGAACTATCCCTGAAGTCACCTGTTCTCAGCAGAGAACGCTTTCCCTTTTCCACACGCTCCCCTGCTCCCATACTCCGGCAGAGCCAGGAAGGGGCAGGAGAGGACACACCTGCCCTAGTCCCTGTTGCAGATTCCCGAGCCATCTTTGGGTCAGACCAGGGCAGGTGGGGAAGAGGTATTAAACTGGATATGAGAATAGAGTTTTGATTGGACTGGACTTCTAATATGAGACTATTCTTACAGTTGAAACTAGTTGGAATTGGTGGGATTCCTATGGATCCAAGGTGCAAACTACCTTAAGCTATCCCGGGGCAGCAAATGCAAATGCCTTCAGGGGCTAGGCAAGAAATATAAATAATGAATGAAGGGACTTAGTGGAGGTCATGGTGAACTGGAGTGAGCTGTGTCCCATCTGAAAGGGGTTGCTGTCTCTCACATCCAGCCAGTTGTTGCCCAATGAGGCCAGATCTTCCTGATTTCCTAGAAATGCCAGAAATCTCCATTTTCGGTAGTGTCTCCTGATTTTGGAATTTTTGGTAAGATTATCAGTCAAGGTTCTTTGTGACAATGATACAATTTACTCCAGGTAGTTCAAGCAAAAGTGCTTTAACAGAGTGGTGCTATGGACTGAATTGCATCCCCGCCCCGCCCAAATTCATGTTTCAGCTCTTCTCCTTAATGTGCCTTTGCGATGTTTAGGAGGTAATCAGGGCTAGGGGAAGCCAAAGGGTGAGGTCCTAATTCAAAAGGGGGATAGCCTAATAAGAAGAGAAAGCCATGTGAACCATGCCTGTATGTGAGGACACAGCAAGAAGACGCCCTCTGAATCCAGGAAGAGGTCTCTCACCAGAACCTGAACATGCTGGCACTGTGATCTCCAGCCTCCAGAACTGTGAGAAAAAACACATATCTGTGTTTTTTAAAAGGTTTTTTAAATTACTTATTTTGAGAGAGAGAGAGAGAGAGAGAGAGAGAGAGAGAGAGAATGCATGACAGCGGGGGGAGGGGCAGAAAAAGAAGGAGAGAGAGGATCCAAAGCAGGCTCCATGCTGTCAGCACAGAGCCCGACACAGGGCTCGAACCCACGAACTGAGAGATCATGACCTGAGCCGAAATCAAGAGTCGAATGCTCAATCGACTGAGTCACCCAGAAGCCCCAATTTATTTTGTTGAAGCCACCCATCAGTGGAATTTTGTTATGTCAGCCAAGACAGACTAAGACAGGTAGAAAGCCTGTAGAATCTCCAGAAGGACGAGAGTTATAGGCTCGGGCTGCACAGCTAGGAACGATGCCCAAACCACCCCTGTGAATACCGTGCCGTGCCTTTCAGCACAGACCCCAAGCTTACACAGGGGCAGGACACCTGGAAGCAAGGTGCACTGGCTGTCATGCTTATATCAGATAGACTCCTCTTTGTTGCTCATTTCCAAGTATAAATCTTATGTGACATGTTTAATAGAAGTGCTTAGGTCACATGAAACTCAGTTGCAAGGAAGGTTCTGGAAAAGTGCTTTGGTTTCTCTTGAGAAGGTCTGGATGGATGCAAAGTATAACAAATGTCCACTATAGCAATTAATTGCAAAAGAGGGGTGGTGGTTGTGTGTGGGGGGATGTCAAACAACGCATTTGTGTGCTGCTTACAGCCCTGCCAGTGGATGACTTCTGAACTATGGGCTACTTTCATTTTTTGCAATTTCTACTTGCTCTGAGGACAACTAGAAAAGCCAAATCAAATCATCATCATCATCATCATCATCATCATCATCATCATCATCATCACCTATTTAAAGGCATTCACATTGCTGCTGCAGCTACCAGGACTAGAGGGGCCAAGATTCTGAAACAATGTTGAGGTGAGCTGATGTATACTGCAGCCACTTTTCCCCTTGCGGAACTTGCAAATTGGGGGACTTGGAATCTAGACTTTTCCCAGGTAAGGCTGCTGCTGCTGGGGGACAGAGAAACCAGCAGAATTTTGGCAGTGTCCTAGGGCTGCAGAGACAAAATTAGGGACTATCCTAGAGCAAAGGGAAGGGTAGTAAAGTGAGCTTGATAGATGGTGGTTTTCCCCTTAAGACATTTGGCAAATTCTGAAACTGTGCAGGCCAAGAGGCTAGAAGCCAAACAGAAAGCCCCTGAAAAACAGAGGAGGGTGTCCAGCAGTCTTGCCATGTTATGGCTATAAGGTTAGAACACAGGGCTGGGGGGGGGGGG